GAAGGGGGAAGAGGGAGGGAGGGAGAGAGAGACAGAGAGACAGAGAGAGAAGAGAGGGAGGAGGGTGGGAGGGAGGGGGAGAGGGAGGGAGGGGGAAGGAGGGAGAAGGAGGGAGGGAAGGGGAGGAAGGGAGAGAGAGAGAGAGAGAGAGAGAGAGAGAGAGAAACTAGAGAATATTTTTTCCAAGGGGCCATGAATGCAGATAATTCTCAGGTCTTTCAGGATAGACTAATTTGCCTGTGGGTGATCTGGACCCCTGCTGAAATTCCACCACTGAAATTTTCTGCTCTGAAGAAAGTGGTCAGTGAACAGCCTTCCTCCATGTTCTCCTCTGGGGCCCTGACTTTCTCCATCACGGGAATGTAAGATGAAATAAACCCTTTCTTCAAAAAGAAAAAAAAATATTTTCAACTGTTGGGCTGGAAAGATGATTCAGTGGACCAAGGGGTTTGCCTGGGGCTGGACAGTCTGAGTTCTGGGTCCTGGGTCCTGGGTCCTGGGACCCACGTGGCAGGAAGTAAGAGATGACACCAAAGGCTGTCCCCCATCTCTCATGCCTGTGCTACAGCATGCAGGGGCACATAAACACACAAGTTTCATCAATTAGAGTGTCAGCTCTTTCCCCTTCTACGCACTATTGATCATAAATCATAGCTATGCCTCCCACCTGTACCTTTATATAATAACAAACAGTCAATTTACATTGAAAGAAAAAAGGAAAACACTTTCAGCTCTTTGGCCGTGATCCATTTTCACGGCTTGGCAGTGTGTCTGCTGTGCTTGATAATTCTGAATCCTGATTAGTCATGTAGACCTCAGAGTGGGTGAGTTTATCGTGGCTTCCGGACAGCAGGGAGGTGAGCAATCAGAAAGTCTGGCTTACCGACCTCGTGAACCAGTCTAGGCCTGGAGGGCTATGGTGAGGGACTTTAGGGATGCTTAGTGCTGACTTTTGAGTTCTGCTTTTCTTCTGCTGGGGTTCTTTTTCTTCCTCCTCCTCCTCCTCCTACCTGCTCCTTCTCCCTCCTCCTCCACCTCCTCCTTCTTCCTCCCTGTTCCTCCACCTCCTCCTCCTTTCTCCTCCTCTTTCCTCTCCTCCTTCCTCCTCCCCCTTCCTCCACCTCTTCCTCCCTGCTCCTCCACCTTCTTCTTCTCCCTCCTCCTCCTCCCTCCCTCCTCTAATGGTCTTCTTGAGAATGAGTAAAAGTGCTTTCTCTTCCTTGGTGGGTCACGAGCATTTTCAGCTTTCTGTTTACAGCCGCTCTGCCTCTGGCACCAGCACAGTGGTAACCCACAGCAGAAAGCATATCTGAGCCCCCAGATGTCCTCAGTCTGGGGGGTGGGGGCGGACAGCTGCCTGCTCCCTCTGAAAACTCACATGCTGGCCTTATCTCACTGCCCCAGAACCTTGAACTTGAGTTTTCTTGTGCTATTATTTAGACTAGCAGCGCTGGATTCCTGGGACTAAAGGAGGAACCCTTGGCTCTTATACCTTCTTTTAGTGCAAAGACCACATGTATTTATAAATAATATTATGAGTGTCTTCCGAAAGAAAGCAGTGAACATATGTTGAATTAATTGTGTATTAAGTACAAACTTTGAGATGTATCAAAACATTGAATTCTTGACTCATCAAGAATTAAATTATTCTAGACAGGCTTGCTGGTATAAGCTTGTGATACCCAGTTGCTTGAGAAACTGAGGCAGGGGGATCACAAGTTCAAGGTCAGTATCAGCAACCTAGAGAGATGTGTTAGAATGGAAGTTAGAGCAGAGTTCAGCATGTGGCTTAGTGGTGATATGTTTACCTAGCCTGTGTGAGTCCCTGGTCCCAAGGCCTCCAGTCCAGGAAGGAAGGAAGGAAGGGAGGGAGGAAGGGAGGGGGGTCAGAGGGAGGGAGAGAGGAAGAGAGAGGGGGAGGGAAGGGAGGGAGGAAGGAAAAAAAGGAGGGAGGGAGAGAGGGAGGAAGGGAGACACAGAGAGAGAGAGGAAGAAAGGAGGGAAAAAGAAGAGGTGGTAGCACACACCTTTAATCCCAGCACTTGGAAGGCAGAGGCAGGCGGATCTCTGTTAGTTCGAGGCCAGCCTGGTCTACAGATTGAGTTCAGGACAGGCTCCAAAGCAACAGAGAAACTCTATATCAAAAACAAAAACAAAACAAAGCCCCCAAAATAAAATTATTCTTACGTAATTTTGTTTTACTTCACCCCCACCCCAATTTGTAACTTATGCAGTTCAGAGGGAAACAGATGCTAGCTATGCCGTCCTAGCTAAGCTTTAAGATAAAATCGAATTCATTAACATATCGTGAAACCTGAAGTCTGTAAGATACACAAACAATTGTTTTTTGTTAGAAGAGTCAACGGCAGGGACCTTTTCAAATCTCTAGCGCGACAAAGGGCTTTCCCTGCTGTCTGCGCACCTACGCTCTCCTCTGCTTACCGAGTCTGTCACTGCCTTCAAGGCAAACTTGTAGGGAAACGAGAACCTGTCCAAGACCTCACTAAAAAGAAACACAGAACCTTCTAAGCTGATTAGATGCTCTGCCCTGAGATCGAGGCCCAGTCAGTCGGATCATTCGTACATCCCGGCTTCGTTTATGATTCTGAATGCTTTTGTTTTACCTGCAATTGGCGATTTTTTCCTGGAGAGACATTTACAAAGGTCTGCCCATCCCTCACAGGGCACCAAAGACAGACTAATGAAGCAAATGCATCCAAGTCCAGTTTGATGAAACCAGCTTAGGTTGACTCACGGGACAGGAGCATTGGTGACCCAAAGACAGATACATCATCTAAAAATCCTACCTCAGCCTGGGTGACAACCCAAGAACACCACACCCCTGGACCTTCCGGACCAAGTGGCGGACAGTTCATTACACACGGTCCATGAGCAACTGTTTTCAATTTTAATACTCTTTGGGGGAGGAGACTTGTGAATCTGGTGAGTTTCTGAGCTTCCTGAACCTTGGACGTTTTATCGGCTTCTGGTATCATATGAGCCTCTTTCTCCCTTCAGAAGGGAATGCTTGACTTCAGAGGAAACCATTACAGAATACCCGGAAAGGAGATGAGGTGTATAGGTGTTGACTCCAAAGGGAGCAAGACGCTCTTTTGACCTACATGGTAAATAGGAAAAGGAACCCCCAACTCAAAGCCTCAGTCAGGGCTGGCTTCACAGGGATGTGACCGACATGGTTGCATGAGGGTCTATCCTCAGAAGGGCCTTCTGCTGTCACTCCACATGATGGCTCAAAGGACTCTGAGACTGTTGTTACATGCGGCTTTGCAAAGAATTCATGCAGTCTCTCTGCTACACTGCAGTGCTTTGTGGAGTGTTGGTGGGGACATCACACAAAGGAGCCATCCGTGCAAAAGGCTGCAGCAGAGGGAAGGACAGACAAGTGTCGGGGATTCATGGTAGACATGAGTTTTCGTGTGTGAGCAGGGTTGCTGTACTAGGTTTTCAGTGGTGCCAGCCACCTTTCAGTTTTGCAGCCTGCAACCTGCAAACTGCATGCTTGCATGCAGTAGATCAGTTCTGCAGTCTGCAACCTGGATGTTTGCACATGGTGGACCAGTTCTGCAGCCTGCAACCTGGATGCTTGCACATGGTAGCTCAGTTCTG